GGAAAGGAAGGTTCTGAATTTACCGGTGGAATTTTGGATAATCTTAGTATGAGTGGCTTATTTCCACATGAGTTAAAGGTGAGGTAGGGATTGGTCGTTTTGCATTGAAGGAGTCTGCGTGTTCACAGGGGTTATTAAAGGAAACACGACTAATCGTGGAACAGTTTAATGATAACTTCATACATTCATGAATCATATCTGGTAATAATATATTTTAAAATATCGTCTTCAAGGAAGTGCTCTAATTATTAATGACAGCCGCCCCTGGCTAGCGACGCAAGCAAGCATAGCGAGCTGAAACAGCTACTTTGAATACATCTTGTACCAGTGTGGTTGAGGTCCTTTTATCTATTTGGAACTATGTGTTTTATGAATTGCTCTCTTTCTTTCTTCTATTTTTTAATCATGCTCTGTCAAGTAAATAAAAAGTATAGTGCTTTTAGAAAATTTTAAATGTCTGGCAATGTATGTCCTAGTACTTGAGATTGACAGTCGACGACGCAAATTCATTTGTGCCACTTTCTTCTTTATAAAAAAATTGTTCATCTGAGCGCTTACATTATTTTTTTTTAATGCAAAAGCTCTTCGGAGGGCTCTTCCCTGGTGGGTTCAAACCAAGCCTGCCAAGAATGGTAATTCAGAAAGAAAGAGGAGAATAGATCATATGAAAGGGTATAAAAGAAGGGAAAGCAAAAAATTATTTCAAAAATTTGTTTAATTTTGATCTCATAAAGTGTTTTAAGATTGGTTTAGTAGAATATACAGAGTTATCCATAAGACATCCACCATCTCCATAACTTTTTTCCTAATTGACATGGAAATTTGGAACTTCGTGGATGTGTTTCAATCTGAAGTAGCTACTTTTTGTTCCATACGAAATTTCGGGGGGGGGGGGGTGCAACTTTCGTTATATAAATGGCTACTCCCTTTGAGTGACACCTCATTCAATGACGGCCGGTCAAAGTTCTAATAACGGCAATTTCACATCTCCATTTTCATTGAAATATTGGAATGAAACTCCATATGCTGGGATTTTTTGAGAGGAAAGAACGATTCTGGGATATAGTTTTCTGGGAAATGCAGACCCTTCCAAAATTTCGGCCTAGTGTGGGAAGTGGATAGCTAGGATGCTTATCGTTGAAATTCCATGAAACTTTGTATCCGATGGTACATTTTTTTTTTAAAATTTATTTATTAAGTTTTTCAGTTTTACAAATATCAACCCCTGAACATCGAGGTTCATCCCTGTACGTCAATGAAAACAGAGATGTCATTTGGAATTTTGACTGGCCGCCATTGTTTGAAAAATCAAAATTTGACGGGTGGTTTGCGCCAAAATTCTTCTTTTTTTAATTGTCTTTCATTCAAATGAGGTGTCACAACATTTTGAGCCAAAAAGTTGGTACTTTAGATCTAGGAACATTCCCAAAGGTCCAAAGAGGTGTGTGAAAATACGGCCAAGAATGCCTGAAGGCATTCTCGAATTTTTACCACTTGGGGTGATTCAGTATCTTTCAAGAAGCCCAAAAACGGTCATCGCTTTGATTAGAAGTGCCGGGTTGCGACGTTGCCATTTTTCAAAGTGGAAGCCTTTAAAAATTCATACTTCCGCTGCATCTAAACCAATTTCAATGAACCTTTCTTTTTAAAATGTTTCTCTGAAATAGATCTTTCTAATGGTGTAAGTTTTCTGGGGTTTACGTGGCTTTAAGCGGCACTTGTGCGGTTTTAGCAGTTTTTGATGGACACAAAAATTTTGTTTTTATTTTACCACAATCGTGGACTCGACGGAATCTAAATGAAAACCAGTCTAAATGAGAGTTCAGATTCTCAACTTTCTAACAAGCCCCAGATCATCCCGGGGAAATGTTTAGTTTCCGAGATATGACCGCTCAAAGTCGGTCGCATGCGCTTTTGCGCAATGTGAATGCATCTTATCACTGTCAGGACTGCATCATTCGTAAACCAGGGGTCCTTACGTTCAATTTACGTTAAAATAATTACACAGAGCAGTAAGGTGTCCAACAGGAGCCGTTTTTTCACCTTGGGCTGCCGATGTGTGACGTTGCCGTTTTTTAAAGCGAAAATCCTTAAAAATACATAACTCCGCTGCATTTCAACCGATTTCAATGAACTTTTTTTTTTTTTAAATGTCCCTCTTAAATAGAGCTTTCTAGTAGTAATTAGATTTCTGGATTTTATTTACCATAGGGAGGCACTTAGGCCGTTTATATGGTTCTTTGCAGAGATTTTTAATACAAAAAATAGTGTTGCAATTTTTTTTTTTTTCTGGGAGGGGGTTCTATATTTCCTCCGATTTTTTTTAACATTCAAACTTGATCGAAATATCACCTTCGCAGAAAGTATAGTGCGGAAATCAGGTTTTAATCATGACTCTATGGCATCAGTGAAGCATGTCACCAAACTTGGTGTTATCTTCTATCTCGCACCGAACACCAGATCATCGTGGATCATTTAGCCACTAGTCACATTTCCATGCACATCGCTATCTTAATGCTATCAAAAAAAAAAAATTAGCAACACCATTTTTTGTATGAGAAATCTCTGCAAAGAACCATATAAACGGCCTAAGTACCTCCCTAAGGTAAATAAAATCCAAAAATCTAAAAACTTCTAGAAAGCTCTATTTAAGAGGGACACTTTAAAAAAAAGTTCATTGAAATCGATTTAAATGCAGCGGAGTTATGCATTTTTAAAGGTTTCCACTTTAGAAAATGGCAACGTTGCAACCCAGCGCTTCTACTCAAAGAGGCGACCGGTTTTGGGCGTCTCGGAAGATACTGTATGACCCCAAATGTTCAAAATTTGAGAATGCCTTGAGGCATTTTTGACCGTTTTTTTCACACACCTCTTTCTACATCAATTAAGAAAGAAGTTACAGGGGTGTAAGGTGAAATGGTGCTGGGTCCAAACCATTTCGCGGAAACAAAGCCGAACATCTTCAAAAATGTTTTAGCTCTAATGAGTACCATTACTAGACTAAAGGTGGAGAGTGTTCAGCCGAAGCAGCTTGCATTGGAATATTAAGTCAACATCACGCAGAGATCTATAACATTTTGGGTCTCTTTAGACCTCATCAGTAAATCACACTTGTCACACATAGAGGTGGTAAGTGACTTATGGATAACCCTGTATAGGAAGCAAAGATCAACGAAAATTGAACAATACCAAATTTTGAAGCGGCTCACATTAATAATGCTGCTCATTGTAGACACAAGCAAAAGCCGGTGGTCGTGATTTGTTTGATGGTTTCAGGGAACTGGTGACATTTCCTCTATCTGTCGTCTATGCCTGACCTATCTTCAATGATAAATTTCTGATAGTTCTTGGGGGCTATGGCCTGGTCTTGGGGAACTTTAGTCTTGGAAGGATGAAACCGTCCGTTTTTTAGAATATTTGATCACTTCGCAGGAATTGGCAAATTGGCAGTTTTTTGGAGATTTGATCCTGACGCATATGTTTCATGTGGCATCCATGGCTAGCCTCAAATTCCCAAATTTCGTTTTTTGCTCTGATGTATCACATTGAAGCCCTGTAAAATCTTTCAAAGGCAGATTCAAGCAAGTTAGATTTTTGTCCGCTTGTACTAAATCCTTAAGTATTGTATGGTCTTGGTTAATGAAGTATGATCTGAGGGATTCCAACTGACGATTGCAGAGATAATGTCAGTCCAACAAGCCTCTTCCACCCTTCTTTCTGTTCAAAAATACTCTCTCCTTTCCTGATTTCGGGTGATGTTTCCTGTTTTGGGTCAGTTGGGCTCTGGTGTTCATCATTATATTTTCTAAAAAATATTTCCTTTGGTGGAACAACATTTTTCCCTCAAGAAGAAAAATACTTTCTATACATGCTGCCAGACAGAGAATGGGCTTGTTGTGGTGTTTGTTTTCCAGCTGGCTAAACAGTATTCCCAAATATTGGTAAAACAGATAGGTCACCCTTTCGTAATTACATCGCAGCTTGTTGTAGCGCTTTGCATGGCGTAATAGAACTACATTTCGTGTTAAGAAACTACTATCTCCGGCTCATTTTAGAAACAACACAACGTCTGTCTTATGTTTTTATCCTGCAAGGAATCCAAAGCTCTCAGTGATTCAGAATAATATTTTGCAACATTTTTACCCGATATAGTGTAAAAATATTAAAAAATTCTCTTCTCAGCTGCTTTTTTCTGCAGAGTGGAACTATGAATGATCAATTTTTAAAGCTTATCGTCCTCAGGAAGCCAGAAGGAATATCGTATCAGAGAATATCGAAATGTAGCCGGTGCTCTTGTCGGTTATTCTGTGGGTGATCCTTTACTGTTCAATACTTTGAACTGTCATATCTCATTTAAAGATTGAGCTATTGATTCGAAATATTTACGAACATTCACTACTTTTTGAACTACCTTTCGAGCAGCGTATCACATAAAGGGGGTTGCTTTTTGAAGAAAAAGAGTTGGGGGTCCAAGCCCCTTTAAAAGGTCCCTCCAAAATTGTGAAAACGATACAAAGAAGCCCTAAGAAGTTACTCAATATTTTAAATCTGTAAGTACAACCATTCAAAAGTAAACAGGGGATGTATCGATTGAAGTCTCCTTGCACTCAACAAGTAGTGGTCTTCTAGCTTTGGAGCAGCACAACCGTCAGCATTTGGTAGAGAGAAATTTACCTCTGAGAGGAGAATTATACAAACCCACTTTCATGAGGCACCTTCTCTAAAAGAGACTTGTTCTATGAGCAAGATTTTTTCCCCAGCATGCCAATCTATAAGGGGCAAAACTTTTTGGAGTGCGTAGCAAAAGTCTGGGATGGCTCTGACATGGATTGTTGTTGCCAATGTTGGCTGGAGAACAATTTGTATCCATGCTCCATTCACGAAAGCATGATTAGAGTTGCAAATAGGTATGTATATATGAAACCATTCAGGTTGAAGTTATCATTTTAGTTATATCTATTTCAACCACTAATCCATGCTGTTTATAATTCTTTTCACAGTGTTAACAAGTGCCATCGCCATATGGCAACAATCGCCGTTCAAGCTGTCATGTCTGTTGCAGATCTCGAGAAAAAAGATGTCAACTTTGAGTTGATCAAAGTGGAAGGCAAAGTAGGAGGCAAATTAGAAGATACAATGTTAGTCAAGGGTGTTATTGTCGATAAAGATTTTTCACATCCACAGATGCCTAAAGTAAGATCGTGTTTTCATTTCATTCTGGGAAAAGTTTGTTATCCCCTTTTTGTATTGAATACTCTCATACTGAAACATCAAGCGGAAGCACCAATCAGCTGATCAGGTATCTCAAGGATAAATTGAGCCTCAGGACTAATTTTAAAGTCGTTTTTTTTCAAGTCCATGTTTTTTATCGCATTTTCGTGATGTTTTAATTCTTAATTTGACACATGTGCAGAAAGATTCTATTACATAATACCTGAGGATGGGCAGGTAAGTGCCCACAGTACACATCGACTAAAAGTGATCAACAAGTTTCCAGGAGATTGGGACCAGAGGACAGGGGTCCTGGGGAAAATCTGTCAGGAACATTTCTCTTTGACTCTTTTAATATGTAAGTAAGTTCTGCGCAGAAATATGCGCGAACAGGTCTTGTTTTCTCGGAATTTTTTTTACCACATTAGTTGGCAACTCTAAAATTCGACTTATTCAGTCAATCAAAATGTCAGTCGAATTATTTGAGTCGATCATCTGCCCAACTTTGGTGTAAAAAATCAATAAATCAATCAATAAACACAAAATCAAGACTGAAGTAAATCACGCAACAATGACGTACAAAATCTGTCAGTTTTTGAGATATTACTTTGCATCGGCACAGAGCCAGTTGACCTGTTTTCTCTGCGCTCGGGGCTGCCAAATAAAATTTATGAGCCTAGCTCAGGAGGCCTGAGCCTACCAATTTTTCATGAAACTTCGGCTCTGGTGCCCGGAGCCATAAAAATATAATCCTTGGCTGTGCCCCAGAGCCCGGTGGCTAGTGTTTTTTCGAAGAGGCTCTGGCCCCAGAGCGCAGAGCTGCAAAATAAAATTAACTGGCTTTGCTCCGGAACCTGGAGCCCACTGTCTCTTTCATGAAGCGTCGGCTCTGGAGCTCGGAGTGTGAAATGCAGTCTAAGAGGTTCCAGGCTCAGAGCCGGAGCTTGAAAAATGAGGAGGAGCCGCTTGGCTCCAGCTCATTCCAGATCCCTGCCCCAGGGAAACAAAGGTACATCACTCATAGCCCTCATATGTTCACATTGACTTTCACTTCGTTTTACGTGGGTTTATATTGTCAAAAAAAATCCAGGAAAATTTCTTTAATCTTAGAGTGGAATTTTGCCAAAATGCCTTCATTATAAAGGAGGAGTATCGTTTTGGGCCTTTTCTGGCCCCACCAGGATTTTGCTGAATGTTTCATATTTTCAAAGTAATAGTCCTAGTTAGACTTAATGCCAAATATTTTACCTAACGGAGCCCATTCAAAGGTGCAACAACGCCTCAAACCCAGAATCTTGGCATCATAAAGAAGTTATTTTCGTCGACTTTTTCGACTGTTATCACTCTTTCAGCAGATGACTCCCATGTATTTTTTTGCGTACTTTCCGTTTCTAGCCTCTTGAAAGGCCTCCAACAATTTTAAAGGGGCCTTATGGCCTATTGTTGCCATTTTTGGCCCATTTTTAGGGGTTTTTTCAATTTTACACATGCAGAAATCAATTCAAACTAAGAAACATGTACGTTTTTTAAAAGAACGCAAAAAAATGAATAAATAATGTTTTATACAACTTTTTTCTACGTTGCCAAATTTTCGATAAAAATCGTCCCGAACAGCCAAAAATGGCGAAAATTCGATAAATTGCCACGCTTAAGGTTCAAGAAAGTGGGGTACAACTTTCACATTGACAAACGTAACAGCTCTTACCTATATATACAACATATCAAAAAATTATAGTTGTACCTGGATTCCAACGATGTGAAAATTGACCATGTCGATTATAGCGGCCTTTTTTTACTTGAATGTTTTTCGACCTTAGTCACCCTCTATGGGTGTATACTATACAGGGTGATCCAAAAGTCCCTTCCACCCCCTCTAACTTTTTACCTAATTGAGATAAAGATTTGAAACTTGGAGGATATTCCGAGGTCAAAGGGAGCTACTTTTTGGCCCCCTTTAAATTTTCAGGGGGGCCTCCCTTGGGGGGGGGGGGCAACGGCCCCCAACTTTTAATTTTTAAATAGGAAGACCCCCCTTGTGATAGCTCGTTCGAAAGAGCATAAAAAAAGAAAACTTTTCGCTTAAACCCGAAGTCAATATCTCAAACCGTTTCAAAATGGCGGCCGGTTAAAGTTCAAAATGACCGAAAATTAACACCGGTTATTTGTCGATGGATTTGCGCGAAAATCGGTATGCAGGGGTATTTTGACACAAGTAAAACGAATTTGACGTTAGATTTTCAAAAAAACCAATATATATATATATAAAGTCGCTTTATAACGCACTCTGGCGTTCTACGACACCCAAACGCCACATATGCCTGTCTTCCCAGAGGTTATCGGGCAACTGACACCGCAACATCTCTTCGTCAACGCCCTGCCGCCAACCCTTTACGGGACGTCCCCGTCGCTTCTTCCCAGGTGGTACCCAATCCAAAACTTGTTTGGGCAACCTCTCCTCCGACATTCTTTGCACATGTCCATACCAGCATAACGGCCTGGACATGACGTCGTGCACGATATCTTTCTCAACCTTCATCACCTGGCGAATTCTCTCATTACGGACACGGTCCCGTCTCGAAATGCCGGCAGATCGCCGCCAAAAATCCATCTCAGTTGCCCTCAACATTTCTTGCGTTCTTTTCGTCAAAGGCCACACTTCACTACCATAGAGCACGATACTTTTAACGATGGAGTCATATATTCGGTGCTTGTTTGCCTTCGAGATGCTCTGATCCCAGAGCACCCCGTTCAGCATCGCGATGGCTCTCCTGCCCTGGATGATCCTGTCCTTAATTGCTCTATCCATCCTTCCATCCTGATCGAGCCAAACACCGAGATACTTATACTCGTCACACTCTTCGATGCGCCGTCCATCCTCAAGCTCTATGCTTTGCCGCTGATGCGCTGCTCCTACGACCAGCTTCTCTGTCTTGGACACACTAACATCCATGCCCCATTTCCGATATTCTTCGACCAACTTCCGCGTCATGTAATCTGCATCTTCCTCATCTTGAGCTACAACGATCTGGTCATCGGCAAAGCATAGAGTATAAAGGGTCTGCCCATCAAGGAGTGGAACGCCCATTCCCGCAACCTTATTTTTCCATTCCTTTAACACGTGCTCTAGGTATACCTTAAATAGTGTTGGTGACAAACAACAGCCTTGTTTTAGCCCTTTTGTGACGAAAAAACCTCCGGACAACTCTCCACGACATTTAATTCTTGATATCGTCCCGTTATAAAATGATTTAATTGCCCCCACAAGTCCTTTGCTAAAACCCCTTTTTTCCAAGGCTTCCCAAAGCTTCACTAACGGCACGCTGTCATAAGCTTTCTGTAGATCCGCAAACACCAAGTGCAGCTCCTGGCTGACCGCCCTTTTCTTCTCGATGACCTGGGTAATGGTGAACAAATGGTCGACGGTAGACCTACTGGCTCTAAACCCAGCCTGTTCTTCGGCTTCCTGGCCGCTCCAAACCTCTTCGACCTTTGCCTTGAGAATTTTACCGTAGACCTTGCTCAAGGTTCCTGCGACCGATATACCTCTGTAGTTGTCGCAATCTTGCTTACTACCTTTCTTATGACTGGTAGTAATCCAAGATTCCTTCCAATCCTTTGGTATTTCGGAACCATGCAAACAGTCTTGCATAAGTTTCCTCTGATGTTCAAATAGTTTACCGGTACCACATTTTATCAACTCCGCCGGTATACCCCCAGGTCCAGGAGTTCTGCGAGTTTTCAACTCCCTCACAGCCTTCACTACATCTTGGAGCTGGATCTCCACGTTGGAATCTTCTTTAGTGCTTATGACTCCGCCTTGAAACTCGGGTTGCCTCTCCGTTAATAAATCTTTAAAATAGTCCTCCATCTTGTCAATTGGTATCGGAGATATGATGTCGCGCATTTTATTCCGTCACAACCCTTTGATCACTTTCCAGCCTTCCGTACTTTTCCGGCCTCCAAGGTAGGTATTTATCTTCATACAGCTTTCTTCCCAAGCCTCATTCTTCTTCCGAGTGATGACCTGACGGACCCTTGCTTGAGCCTGTTTGTACATGATTTTATCATCCAACTTTTGAGAAGAGAGAAACTGATGATACCTATTCCTTTTCACATTTATTTCCTCCTCTACCTCCGCATCCCACCAGTACGGTTTTTGATTATCATTTTTTGGATCAGAAACCCCCAGGGCCTCCGCTGCCGCCGAGTGAATGCAATTCTTGATAAACTCATACCGCTCTTCCGTACTGCCATCGCACCCATCTCCTAACTTTTCATCCAGGCGCTTTGCGTACAGAGCCTTGACACTCGGGTGCTTTAGGCTATCGATGTTATACTGAACTTGATGTACGCGTTGTCACTCCGGTTGTTGATTGTCGCCTTGATCGTTCTGCGACACACGAGCGGGAAAGGCTACATCCGCTCTGAGGAAATGGTGGTCACTACCGCAGGAGAGTCCTCTACATACTCTCACCTGGTGGATCTTAAGGTTTGTTACCTGTTTAACGAGCACGTAGTCAATGATGGATCTTAAGCCGCGAGTAGGTTGGACCCAAGTATATTTGTGAATATCCTTGTGTTGGTAGAACCCGTTCAACACTTTTAATTCCATCTGCTCGCAAACGTCGATAATGCGGCTTCCGTTGTCGTTCACCGTAACTTCACCGAACGGGCCGACGACTTTACTGTTCACCCGGGATCCCGTTCTACCGTTTAGATCTCCCAACACAAGGACTTCCCTCCCAGGTCCTACCTTCACTACCTCCTCGTCCAGTTCTTCAAAAAACTGATCCTTAAGTGCGATGGTAGCATCATCATTGACCCCGTATACTCCCAAAACAGTGACTCTGTGACCGTGCAATGTTAGGTTCATCTTAATCATGCGAGCGTTGATGGCCTCCCAGTTCTTAATATTTCTTCGAAATTTTTTGCGGTTCAGAATTGCGACACCCTTTTGTGCACGCTGATGTTTCGGCACTCCA